ACCGATTTCTAGTCATCATTCAACCAATTAAGAACCATAACAATGACTCTGGAATGTGCTAACTATCTGTTTCTTTTACAATTCAACAAACAAATACTAAAATAGTGAAATTAACATCGCTAAACATAAGGTAAATCCGACGAATATTCTTAATCAAAATAATCTAAAAAAAACCTAAAACAATACTGGTCTAATCGTTGACACAAATAGTATTATATGTAAAGATGACACGACTGTGACAATGCTGACGCAATTTTCGACTTTCCCTAGTTCTCCGGCGCTGGTAGCCAAGGATGGTCAAGCTACTCACCAGCAAGTTCCGGCTGGGCTTCCGGCGGCACCACACAACAAGGATGGTCATCAGGTTCATCTGGCAGCTCTAGCTACCCATACGCGCGTAGCTTCGATGCTCAGTCGATGGCATACAGTGGCCAAAAACCAGAATAACGTACCAAATTCTAGACATTTAGCACTAAATCTTATGAAATGGACGTCTATGACGACCGATTGATGCCATGTTAATTGTTCTTCCTATTCTACGAAAAAACACATCAGACCCTTGCTATTGTACAGACTTTTTTACTCATCACTCATCGTCTTCTGTTTTAAGATGTATTCATGTCTGATTAGTTAGTAACTTATTTATTGTGTTAATTTTACTAATAAATTATTTATTATTTATATAGTAATTAAAACTATGTCATATGTTATCATCAATTTATTTAATAAAAAATCATATTTATTAAAAAGTTTTTTTCAATATAATATACTACGCATGTGGATAATCTGATATATATATATATATATATATATATATATATATATATATAAATATATAAAATATATATATAAAAAAACATCTATTTATTTACTGTCCACATTTCGGAAGTAGATACGTTTCATCTTCAGGACATCTGTCAAGAAACATGATCTTGATTTAAATTTGTTTAAATTTAAGATTCAAACAAACAACATATTTAGAAAAAATAGAAAATGCTGAATTTTTAATATACAATGAATAAAACTGTGGAAAAAAGTTCCGAAACGTCGATAGTAAATAAATAAAAAAATGTTTTTTTTTTAAAAAAAAACTTTTTGTTTTTTAATACATTTGGATTCTTTGTTCGAAGCTCTAAAAATATTTACAAATTCAAGATTCTACCATCTAATATATATGGGTATATATACATATTAAGAAGTTAATTTCAGTTTAATTTTTTTGTTGAATTAAAATATATCATCAATAACTCTGTATTAAATAAAGAGTCCAATTTTGGCTTGGATAGATTTGCCTTGGCGTTACTTTGTGCTCTCAAAGAAAAATAATTAAAAAAATTGTTACTAAAACATACTTTTAATATTTTTGTACTATTAAAGTACAACATTTCTCAAGTTCATTAAGAATAATTTCTGCAAATATAGAAATATATAAAATTTAATAAGCACGTTTCTTATTTTTTACAAATTCGTCTATATTTAATTCACGAAAATTTTATTATAATCACATGTTATATTTAATATTTTATTTGGTTAAAAGCAATATATCAGTATGATTTGTGTATGGCAAATATTAAGTTTACTTTCGTCCAGAAATATAGCTTATTTAGTGGCTTTTAGAGTAAAAATACAAATAGAAACACAATTTACACTTCGGAATATTATTTAGAATATTTAAAGAATGTTGTAAAAAACTATTTAAATTTTTGTGTTTCATATAAGTACCCTAAGAATAATCCCATATGGCAAAAAAGATCATTGGACTATCACCTTCTACATTTAGCATAAGCAAAAATGTACACAAAGTGCAAACTCAGTTAAAATGTATGTATTACATACTTTTTATGCAAAAAATGTCTATACATATTATCCATATTTTATTAAATATTTACCCAATTAGGTGTTTGAATAATATGTAGAAAAATGATTAATGTTCAACATTGTCCACATCAAAACCTAATTAAACATAATTCGGATTTCGCTGACAGCATTGTACGATTCATTAGTGCCATGCAACTGTAAATTAAGTTTTATCTTTCAAATGCAAGTAATAATGCAAAATTGTGTTTCTCGATAAAACCAGGAACTGGATAGAGTATGTCACAAAGTGTTTATAACAAAAATTAATTTCGTTACTTCTTCGTACCTCTACAAAACCCTCAAGTCATATTCAAGTTTGGGTTTATTTTTGTACCATACATAAAAAATATCCTATACTGCCAAGCTTAACAGCAAAACCTTTGATTGGATCATAGGGCAAAAATCCAAGTTATCTCTGGACCGCTAAAGTAAGTCTAACGTAAGTTCTACTCAACGAATGTAATCTAAATAATTAAATTTTTATGAATAATTATAATTATTAATAATTATCAATGTATCATTGTTTTTGTAATATTTGCAATAAAATCATTCACATCTACCAAAATTATATTGCAGTTGACGTCATCAATAAAGATCTGATAAAAAAAGCTCAAGAATAATAAAGTTCACAAATACAAAAATTATATTTAGCGGATAATTATTTATTGAAACAATTTGACATTCATGTAGAAATTTGTTACATTTAGTTTATTGGTTGTGTATTTTTTAAGATTTAATTGAACCATGAAAATTTTTGGGGCAATTCGACTACTCTGTGTAATTTACTCATTGAAAATTGAGTTGAATTAATTGGTTGAAAACCAATGTTTTTTTATATGGTATTGCGCATTAAGGCAATATTCTAAAACTAAGTTTAATTAATAGACTGAAATTTTGCAATTTGCTAAAACTAGTGGTGTATTAAGCAGTTATGTTCATCAGGTGCATGTTATGTTTTTTTCACAAAACTGAAATTTGATGAAACGTTTTTAATTTTGTTTTTTAACTTCCCGCAGGGTACGTAGTAATATGCTGAAAATCGAAAATGAAATTTTTTCCATATCTTCATGTTTCAGAGGTTTTTGAACATTCTGGCATACCTCAGAAAAAATGGATGTGCGTGTGTTTTGTATGTCCTATACATTTTTTTTATATCGAAAATAATTCAAATTTAAATTTTAATTCTGGCTAAAGCTCTAAAGCTCACTTAAATACTTCAAACGAATAATTTTAAAATTGTAATTCAGTTTATATAATTCTTATAACTATTAGGCAATGTAACAGTATTTATAATAATCTATTTGAAAACATTTAATATTTCTCGAACATTTCGTTACGGTACGGGAAGTTACAGCAATTTTCCTTAAGGCACGATGCCATACACAACTAGTTTTCAATAATATTAAGTATCACGTAAAATTAAGAAAATAACAAAAATTTTCTAATACCTTTGTAGCAATAATAATAATTAGCACACAGTTATTTTTAAAAATTCAAAAATTGGTTAAAAAATGATACGGATTTCTGTAAAAACAGATATTTTAATATATATATTTTTGAACCTAAAAATAAGTAATAATAAATAATAATATGACAACTTATTTAATTATTCCAATACCTTTCAACACCAAACGTTCCATCGGCTGCACGCTTTTTCAAGATTTTTTATTTTTTGAAAACATTCAAAAAGAGACGAAAATTTGAATGGAAGCAAACATTTTTCTCATACAAATTACTTATTTATTTGGTATTTGTTCCATATTTTATGTTTGTCAGGTCGATACCTTAAGCGCTTCAAAGAGAAAATGTTTAAATAAGATGAACTAACAATATTTAGATAATCGTATTTTATTTTAGTAGTGTGAAAAAATAAAAACTTATTTATTGATTGCCAAATGTTTATACGCACGTTATAAAATTTTTTTATAAGATAATAAAAATAAATATTAAAAATAATAATAAAGGTGCTAAAAAATAAAACAAATGGCAAAATTTGCAAATGGTTTAATAAAAATATTGATGAACAGATTACACTGCGCGATAGTAAAATATTTCTTGCGATTTATTATGGTTTTTAAGATGTTCCAGGACGCTGATTCCGAAAACAAAAACAGAAATTCGCTACCAGCTCTAGTTTTCGAGATATGCAATATGCCAGTTTACCTCAAATTCTAAAAAAATACGATATATTTTATTTTATGCCTTCAAAAGTTTTTATATGATTTCCAAACGTAGAAAAGGTCTGACTGATTTTGTAATAAGCTCCAACAATTGTCAGCCATCATGTGGATGTCCCACTTTCCTTGATATCGTTCCTCCAAAGTCCTGATGTCGGATACTCTCGCCCTGCTTTTCGCTAATATCTCCACAATTTTCCAAAAACCGTTCTGAATAAGAGTGTGGGTAATGAATTCAAATTAATTACATCAAATATATCAGTTTTTAATGCTTCTCTTTTAACGTTTTTACTTGGTAAGCAGAAGATGTTGATGCTCTAGATTGTTCACCATTGGCATGGATGGGGTTCGTGTAGCTGACCAAAAGTAGACTTCAATGCCATTGGGGTTGTGGTATATGACTATTTGCTCCTATTGCCTGAATTTTTTACATTCATATTTACCACATAGACGAAACATAGCCGTCGTGGTAATTCTGAAGTTTTTCTAAATAACAGGAGTGTTAAAATTATACCATTTCTTTTTTCTTCTGAATAATAACGTGAACATTCTACGCAATTTTTTCACCTAGATTGAAGAACCCATGTTTCGTCTTTATTGCGCAATTTAGTTTTAAGTGGTCGAAATACGATGTCTTTATGCAATTTATAGATTTCTTTCTTTTTTATAGATTTAAAAAAAAAGTTCGAGGAAAAAAATAATGTGATCTTAATCCGGTATTTCGTCGGAAATGTTCATCGGCAGATTAAAATAACTATTTATTCAATTTATCACGTTAAAATTGCTTTTTTAACTTTTTTCCTTATT